ATAACTCAAAAGCAAGCACAATTTGATCCAAAAAGATGTTTGTGACATAACCTCAAAATAGAATTCTGACACGGAGAAGTAAAGGGTGTCTCAGAAATATTTTCGTTTTTAGATCAGTCCTCTGGCGGAATACGCATGCTCCGGAGAAACGAGACAGTTGACAAACGTTTGGCAACATTGTTAAATTTTAGTTGCAATGGAGCGTTTTACAGGGCCGCAACGTGCTTTTTGTGTTCGCGAGTTCTATAAAAACAAGGATTCTTATGTGCTTGTACGTCGTTTGTACAGAAATCATTATAACATAGCAAGAATGAGAGATGTCCCAAGCGCAAATTTAATTAAATATTGGGTAAGAAAGTTCGAGAGCACTGGAAACACGTGTATTAGTAAACCGCCTGGACGGCCAAGGTCAGCAAGATCGAACGAAAATATTGAACGTGTGCGCCAGTCCGTTAACGAGGATCCCCGGCAATCATTAAGACTGCGTGGAGCGTCTCTAACTTTGCATAAGTCAATTGTTCATCGCATTATTCGCAAGGATTTGCATTTTCACCCATACAAGATTGTTGTTACACAACAATTAAAACCACAAGATCCCGCTAATCGATTAGAGTTCTGTAGAACAATGAGAGAGCATTTTAACGGTTACAACAACATATGGTTTTCTGATGAATCGAATTTTCACATTAACGGGCATGTTAATAAACAAAACTGCCGATATTGGGCCGAGCAGAACCCGCAAAATCTTCATGAGACGCCATTACACTCGCCTAAAGTTATCGTCTGGGCTGCTATGTCAGGGCAAGGAATCATTGGCCCGTATTTTTTTGAAGACAATCGTGGCCAAGCTCAAACTGTAACATCTGAGCGCTACTGCCACATGATTAGGACTTTTTTAACTCCAGCTATACAGAACCATGGTGGCTACAATAGAAACACGTTTTTCCAGCAAGATGGAGCGACTTCTCATGTCACGAATGAATCCTTGGATGCTCTTCATCAGTTATTCCCAGAGAGGGTCATCAGTCGCAGAGGAGACATTAACTGGCCACCGAGAAGTCCCGATTTGACACCAGCAGATTTTTTCTTATGGGGATACCTGAAGAGTAAGGTATACACCCCACCGCCACAAGATTTGAGAGAGTTGAAGCAAAAAATAACAGATGAAATAAACGCCATTCCTCGAGCAATGCTTCGGAGAGTGATCGAAAACTTCAGTTCGAGATTAAGAGAGTGTGAAAACATGAACGGTGCTCATTTATCCGATACTCTTTTCCATAAATAAAATTAATGTTTAGGCTTTCGTTTGGTAATAAATTTATCTTTGTAAAAATATTCTAAGTATTTTTATTTATGGCATAAAATAAGAAAATATTTATGAGACACCCTTTAGAAAACTATGACAATCAAGGAGGCCATAAAGGCGCCCTACAATTGTAGGGACGACTGACGATACGGGCCTAAGTTATCTGTATGTTTTATGTCAAAAATTATAATAAAAATATATTGCGACTCGTTTCACAAAGTCGTCGAATAAAAGTTTCTTTGCCATCTCCAATAAAAACGACAGGAATGGTGAAAGCTCATTTTAAGTTAGAGGTATTAGCGAAGTTCGGAAAAAGTTGAGGAAAGTCAGTGTCACAAAAATTGCTGTGACTTTCGGCAAACAATTTATGTAAGTAATGTAATACAAATCAGTTTAGCACTGCAGTTAAACATAAATTCATCCTTAAAACGTAGTTTAAAGCTCACTATTTCTCATGCATGTGAAATCTTACCAGTATGCAAAATAAACAATAGAACTAGTGCAGAAAGCGAAACATCATTTGCCCACATCTTGTACTGATCTCTAGATTTTTACCATACGCAGTGGAATGCAGCCGGTTGCAGTAGTTCTTGTCAAGTTCTTGTGATATTGCGATGTCACTTACTACTGGTTTCAGCTTGGTCGCTAACAATCTAACATTATCGTGAAATTTTTATTTTTAGATCGCCGCAGGAGCGTAGACTTCACGACTTGTAAACAGGCACGTTGCTGACGATGAGCTTTATGACTAACTACTATAATTTTGTTCGATTCATAGAGCTTTATCGTGGTATGTGGACTGATATTCCATTTTTATATCTTCAGAAATAGCACCTAATGGATGCTGTATATTCCAGAGTATCTACTGTTTTTAAAAACACTTAAGAAACTGCGACGAAGTTTATAAACGATCGAGCGGTCAGGTGTATTTCGTGAACAGGTTTTTCAATCCACCAACTTTTTTACGCCCTAGGGCAGTAAAGTAAATTTAGCTCCAGTCAACGCTATGCTCATCGCAACCTTTGATTTGTTGTTACGCAAAGGCTCCAACTATCGAAACCCGAGATAAAACATGGTTAATTTATTTATTTGAACCTACTCTGAATACCACATGAAACATGAGAATGGGGTAAATCCCTTGCAGTACGTTGTGCATTGTGATCTTCTAGTTAAAAGAATCTATAAGCACTAAGTTCGGTGATGAACAGATTCCAAGATATGCCTAATAGTTCAGAATTTTATTTAAGGATATTTGCACATTGAAACACATATTTACGCCATATAATCAATGTTCATATCCAATATGTGATGTCTCATCCATTCATTTCTTCAAATACAGCACAAAAAGTTACATGTGTTCAGTGAAACTAAGTTCCAATTCAAATGTCAAATGCATATTCTAAGGATATACCTAAAAAACAATACCTAAAGGGTCGAGGTTACTTAGTCGTACGGCTATTTTGCCAACAATTTGATGTCAAGGTTAATTTAATTTACTGATGCAATTGCAAATTATCCATAAACGCTGCAGTTTCAAAATATAGCATACAATAGCAATTTGCAATCTTGCACTCTGAGTTGCTGAGAAATTAAGAGGAACATGGAGACTAGCCGTGGAGCTGTTAACTTTTCTTGTAGAAATGGAAGCAACTTGCAATATGTTGCGGAACAAGTTCCGGGAATTGAGCTGCAGACACAGTGGTATTTCTCAACATAATTGTGCCAACAACTCTTTAGATCGAACACGTAAATACCTTAATTATAACACGTTCTGACGTTTACAGTCATAACAGTCAACCATACAAGTTAATGATATGATGTTGTATATCTATTACACGCTGAATGAATCTGTTCCACTGTTCGGGACTGTCAGAAATTCATTGTTGGAAAACACCGATTGACTACGACAATGGTCATTCACACTTGATTAATATCGAGAGAATATATTAATATTGTACAACTGTTAATATCGACTTACGACTTGGACGTCAGTCACTTTTTTTATTTCGATACTACATTGTAGGTATTTTCACAGCAACCTTGTCATTTCAACTCACTTGGGATAACCAATTAATTATACGGGATATTCCGAGGATGGGTTGTCTCCTACAGTTTACAAGATTATCTTGAATCTTGAATCTTGGATCTTGGATCTTGAATCTTGCGTCTTGCGTCTTCCGTCTTGAGTCTTGCGTCTGGAATCTGGAATCTGGAATCTGGAATCTGGAATCTGGAGTCTGGAATCTGGAAACTGGAAACTGGAATCTGGAATCTCGAAACTCGAATCTGGAATCTTGAAACTTGAATCTTGAATCTTGGATTTTGAATCTTGAATCTTGATTCTGGAATCTTTGATCTTTGATCTTTGATCTTTCGTCTTTCGTCGTTCGTCGTTCGTCGTTCGTCGTTCGTCGTTCGTCGTTCGTCGTTCGTCGTTCGTCGTTCGTCGTTCGTCGTTCGTCGTTCGTCGTACGTCGTTCGTCGTTCGTCGTTCGTCGTTCGTCGTTCGTCGTTCGTCGTTCGTCGTTCGTCGTTCGTCGTTCGTCGTTCGTCTTTCGTCTTTCGTCTTTAATCTTTAATCGTGAATCTTGAATCTGGAATCTTGAATCTTGAATCTTGAATCTTGAATCTTGAATCTTGAATCTTGAATCTTGAATCTTGAATCTTGAATCTTGAATCTTGAATCTTGAATCTTGAAACATGAATCTTGTATCTTGGAGCTTTGAATCTTGAATCTTGAGTCTTGAATCATCGAAATTTTTCACGAATACAACATCTGCTCTCGTCAATTGGCCTGGTAAGTAAAAAGGCGTCAACATCAAGGGAACAGATTTAAATCCGGCGAACTAGATGGCCATAACAATTATTCACGTTAATAAAGCCTTTCTCGATTTCATTTAATCTTGTACGTCTGTCCACGCAATACTTCATCATTATTACGATTTCGCAAAATAAGTTTAACATCCTCTATCTTGCAAACTATAACCACTCAAAATCCAAAAATAGTACACGTTTCTATAATTTCCAAACAAAATGTGACGACCAGATGTCTTGGACAAAAATCTTCAAGCTTGAATGAATCTTTTCTGGAGGCAATAAAAAAAGATAAAATGTTATATGAAATACGGTTTGAACAACATGCGGTTTTCAACAGTGAATCTCTATTTAAATAGATTTGTTGTTAAGTTTCAAATGCATAACGTGAGCGGAAGTTGTTATAATCTGATTTTAAATTAATCAGCACGTTAAGATGTTCTCAAAACAAAGATGGGATCGTAAATCTACCCAATGGATAAGCCACATTTGTGAGCCGTGAACCAGTATTTTTGAACCAAATGGTTATGGCGTTTGTCATTCACATTTTTTTAGTGAAGTAAATGAATCATAGTTCTCATCTCATCTAAATTTTTCGAAAGATTTTTTATTTTAGCCTGACACTTGGAAAAGTACCGCATAAGTTCGTTTTTGACTTCATTTTTCATTTCTCGAAACTACCCAGTCCTGCTTGAGCGGTGAAAATCAAGTTCAAGATGCACAGAATTTGAACGTGCGTGTAATCTGGAAATGGCGTTATACGTTTAGTGCGTTAATCAATCGAGTCAATCTACTTGACGGCTATTCACTTTCATATAGAGTTGGATTGCTAGTGATCCGAGCGTGCGCGTTAGTTTTGTCGTTTATCTTGACGGCTCGGCTTACCCCGTAGTAGAGCGTTGTCTTGTCAACGTCAGTGGCTCTATCAGCTGTGACATTTGTTTTGCCTTCAAAATATGTCAAAACTCTAAAATCTTGATCAAAATAAACATGTTATGTATGGCTTTACCCTGATTTTTCACAGTACATTATTAGGATTTTTCATTGACACTCTGGGAAGATTGAAATTATCCGTGATCGTTCTATAGTTTGTCCATGAATATTTAAACGGGTTAACCTTGGCGACCATCTAGAGATCAGTTTCACCAGACTTTCAGGTTCGCGAAATGACCCTCATCGAAGGTATCGGGGACGAAGTAACGCATTTCTTTATCGCAGTATTCGCCATCGTAGTAGGTAATTTATTACAAATCCATTTTGAGTTAACATTTTGATTGATCACTTTGCAGTAACTGTAGCATGGTGGACAACCAATATTTCTGAGCAGAGACACGTAAGGACTGTTCTGTTGCTTGAAAGAAGAAGGCATAGGTTCCACAGAAGGTTAACCAACCATACGGAGTCTGTTACAATTAGCACAGGTATGTTATAAAAATTATTGTATCTACATAATGTTTACAATAGTTATCCAAGCATTATCATAGTTATGGTGTACTTTTATTACTTTTTGAATGCATATGTGCATATTCATAACAGCAGGAACGTAATAAAGATCATTTTGTTATATTTTTAACCTGACGTTTACATTAGTCAAATTTTGTATATAAGTACTTCAATTATATATATCAATTTACACCATACCTAAAACTATCATATTAATATATGAAAATTGTAAACAAGGTCAGATTATTGGAATTTAAATCATATGTACTAAAAACTGTATTTGAAAAACCAAAGGCTGGTAAGTACTTATGTTCATAACATTATATGTACAACATGATTAAATGATAAGGAATTTGTTTAGTAGCAAGTAAATTGTTTTGTTTTTGTTACTGATAGAAGTGTTAGGTGAAAGTATTTTACATAAAACTCAATATGTGTGATTCATAAATACTTTTGTTTGATTTGATTTATCGATTTAAATGCAGGTAATTGTCTAATTTTATACACATTGTTGAGCTATTATACTTAAGCATTTAAGTTTACTGTATATCATGAAATATGTAGCACTCCTCAAAAACTGTTTTAATTTATAACTAATAAATGCACTAAAAATGTTTGATGAAGTAACTGTGTGATCTCAATGACAATTGAATCTTTTGACTATTCTTTTTTGTAAAGAATATGACAGTTTGTAGGCATTTATTTGTATTGATAAGTTACTTTGAGCATGTGAGGTACATATTCCGATATTCCCAAATATTTTCACCTGCTCACAGAAAGATGTGTGTTTTCAAGTATATGAACTATTATTTTCTTAGTTTTTGTGGTGAGGTTTTTGCCAATTGCTGACTTTGCTGATATACTGCACATTTCTAAGCATATGTCATATACTTATTACAAAATCATTTTAACAAGTTCAGATTCCCAACGTGCTAATAATATTCATCCCACAGGTACTTCTTCTCTCCCACCAGTACAAGAAGAGCCGAGCAGTAGCACCTCACATGCACCAACTGAAGGGGCTCAGCCTGTAGAAGTGAAACCCCCGGAAGAAGAATCTCAGCTTCCTGAAGCAGAAGAAGGTGATCCAGAGATAGAAGAGATCTTGGAAGGTGTTGGGGAAGAGCAGAGTATCATTGACACTATGGATGCAGATGCGAATGAGCTGAGGCAACGTCGCTTGGCTTTTTATAATGTTCTAGGAAACAGGAATGAAGGTAAATCCTATTTAAGATCCATATTACGTATATTGGTTGTTGGTTTGATAAGTTGAGACATGGGGTGTGAGTATTTTGTTTTTGTTTCAGAACCAACAACTTCCTCTGCTAGCCAATCTCAAGAACCTTCTGCTCCACCTGAAGAAAAGGTACATAGTGGAACAGATAATCGAAATACAGGTAGTTCTACATATAGTACAAATAATGGTGAAAATCATACAGGTGGCATAACAATCAAACTGAAGTATATTAATGATGATCTGAAGCTAGTGGATGGCAGATTGGATGAAATGTTGGGGGAGTTTAAAAGGTTAGTTATTGTGCAAAAAATAATGAATAAAAGAATCAAATAGAAACTCTATTTCTGTGAGCATATAAGCTATGAGATGTGGGAATTATAACTTTATACTTTTTTTTGGGTATATTTGTATCATCCACTCAATCATTTCAGGCGACATTTTCAGCCAGAGCTGTCACAAAATAAACTAGTGAGATTAATTTTTAATGGACAGGTCCTACAACCAGACACACAAACACTGAAGAGTTGTGGGCTCTTCCACAACTGTGTAGTGCATTGTCTTGTCCATCAAAAGAAACAGCAACAGGTAATTTCTTGCATCTACACTATTTATTTTATTTGTCCATTTTTCACAAGTGTTTATCTTGATCTGTGAGCATTGTTAATCCTTTTTTTTATGTAGAAAACGATGCTGATGGGTTAAAGGTTTTTCTAGCTTTATAGTTTTTGGGCATCTATATTATTGTGTGACATTGGTCTGTTTGAATATTTAGACACAAGGAGAGACATCTGGAGGCAGTAGAGCAGAGGGATACTCATTTCAAAATACAGGTGGTCTGCCACATATGAACAACAACAATCAGAATAGAGACTGGGATTTAGGAAACTTTTTGTTTGCCTTCATCAGCTTTATCCTTCTGGCTGCTTGGTACTTTAGGTGAGTCTATTGAAAAATATGAGTGAATAATTTTTGACATTAAAAATTGCAAATTAACTCGTAGCATTTGAGTAACAACATTTCTTACAAGATCTTTTATCTACAACTCTAGTAGTAGCAGTAGAAACATTTTTTTAGCACATTTGGATACATAGAAAGAATAATTATCAACAACTTAGAATTGATAAATTCAAGCCTTATGATGCAAATGTTGGGCAAGCTATAATTATTGTAGATTCAAGCAGTGATTCCTCAATTTTACTTTGAAATTTGTCTTCGGATCTTTTATCTCTGTATTTAATTTATTTCTTGTATATTCAATTAACCCTTGATGAAATATAGATGTGTATGACTATATGCGAACGATTCTATGTACGATCGGGTAATTTGGGCCGTAAATTCGGATGTCATTGTGGAAAATACCTTAACGGGGATTATGGGCGAAAAATTGGTAAAAAACAGTCACCCGCGGCCACCCGAGAATCTTAGCACTAAATTGACATCAAATTCGGAATCTACTTACCCAATTTACATAGAAAATAAGCTTCCATCTAGATCATAAAAACAGCTTTTGGAGATTTGTTATTATTCGTTTTTTGAAATTATATCAAAAACGAGGCATTTTCGGTCTAAATGGGCCTCGGTTTCAGCGACCCAAAAAACGTATTATAAGAATGGTTGGGCTCACGTTCCCGACTGACCCATTTTTATACATGGTAATTAAAAATTAAATTGTTTTAAATGCGGTTAAAATGACTTCGTACTTTGGGTCTATAAAATCGAATCCATGTAGATCTAATTATTTAGCGCAAAATTGCAAAATTATGCGCTTTTTGCGACTTTAAGGTGCAAAAAATCCATTTTTATTATCGATGGCCACATGAAAAAATTATAAAGTGTCACCTTACTGGATTTGGGATGAACAATTGGTAAGGGGGGCTACCCGTGAACCCTAGCACTGAATTGATACTGAATTCGGAATCTATGCACTCGATTTACCTAGAAAATAATATTTCTCTAGATCATAGACTCGCAACAGTTTTTGTAGATTTTTTATTAGTCGTTTTTTGAACCCTGGATTAGATTTCAGCGACCCAAAAAACGTATTCTAATTTTTGTCTTATAAAAATACATGGTAACTAAAGATTAAAATGTATACTAAGTGACATATAAATCCGAACACCCAGTTTAAATGGTTTTATTTTAATAAAATTTTGTATCAGTACTTAATGAAGCATAATAAGTAAATGATAAAAATTTCAAAATGATTGCACTGCTTTAAAGCGCTTTGACCTTTAATAATGTGTGGATGCACCCTGATGTGCTACGCATTCTCCAACGCGCCTAGGCATGCTTCTGATCAGGTGGTCAATGTCCTCCTGTGGTATCTCATTCCAGGCAACCACCAACTCCTCTCGAAGTGCTTCTAGAGTCGGAGGAGGACGTTGCAAATTGAGCAATCTCCTACCCATCATATCCCACACGTGCTCAATTGGGGATAAGTCGGGAGATCTTGGTGGCCATGGTAACAATGTGACATCATTATGTTGAAAGAAGTCTATTGTGACTTTTGCAACATGTGGTCGGGCATTATCTTGTTGGAAAGTTGGATCTGCCAGGGTGTCAAGATAGGGTAAAAGATGGGGTTCTGGAACTTCGTGGATATAACGCTGCACGTTCATGTTACCTCTGATGAAGATTAAAGGTGACCTGGAACCATAAGTTATAGCACCCAAAACCATAACTCCAACAGTGTCATGAACATGTCTTTCAACAAAAAACTGTGGATTCCTCCTTTCAGCACGTCGCCTTCTAACCCTGGCACGACCATTGTGCATGCCTAAACAAAATCGAGACTCGTCACTAAAGACAATACTGTTCCATTCCTGATCCCAGAGTGACCGTTGTCGGCACCACTCAAGGCGATTACGTCGGTGTTCTCGAGTTAAAGGGAGGACCCAGTGTGGCCGGTATGAAAACAAGCCAAAACTTCTCATTCGTCGGTAAACACTTCGCATGCCAATAGGTCTTCCGTGTTCTGCAAACCATTCATTTGCAATGGACCTGGTAGTGGAGAAACGGTCCCTTAAGGCCAATAATCTTAGGCGGCGATCTTCACGGTCTGTTGTTCTACGGCGGCGTCCAGTGCCCCTTGCTCTTTGCGTACGGCCTTCTCGAAGCCATGCCTGACAACACCTAACCACAGTGTCTACACTTCTTTGCACTCTAACTGAAATTGCCCGAAAAGAAAGTCCAGCTTCCCGAAGTCCCACTATACGGCCCCTATCAAACTCACTAAGTTGACGAAATCGTACAGGTCTCCGTACTCTAGGCATCGTAATCGATCGTAAAGGATGTCAAGAACCAAAATCCGCCAACGTTGATTCTTTACTGCGGCTGAAATATTCATTTTTAGAGCGTTAGTGAATTAAAAAAAAGCAGTATAAAAACCGGAATGTCCAACTGATAAGGCTGAAAATTTTTTCACTTGTTATTTACAGTAAGATAAATACATTCACCAACTTTTATTAAAATAAAACCATTTAAACTGGTTGTTCGGATTTATATGTCACTGAGTATATTTCAAATCACTACTATCTTACGTATTTTGTATCGCTAAAACCGAACCGAAAAGCTACGTCACTTGTATCTGATCCCGTTTATCCTGTACATTATATTATACAAGGTGTTAGGGAAATAATATTCGTAACTTTAGGATGTGATTCGTCGCATTATTCTAAGCGAAACAGTTCATTATAACCGTTTCGGAGCAAAAAAATGCTGAACTTATTTCTTTTCCGTCATGCACTTTAATAATTTAAATTCATATGCCTAATAGCGTAAAATGTATCAATACATCTATTCATTAATTAACTGTCTCTAACAAAATATTTTTCCTGCTTATTAAATACAATTTTCCGAAGAAAAACAGACAAACAAAATCCCTCACACAACTGGCAACGTCGTACTTCGCCTGCACTGCATGTATAATCGCGTGTCGTTGTGACTATTAATACATTTATCTGTAACTTTATGTGATTTACGGATGTTGTTTTTTCTTTTTTCGTGCATCGCATCGTTTCAAATAAGTGACTGATAATCGTGGGAATTGGTGGTGTGTATCGCCACGAACCGGTAAGTCATTTTTTAAGTAGATGTACTATACTGAAAGCGTTATTTAATAAAAAATATCTGCCACAAAAAATTGCGTAAAAGCATTCAATAATTCGAGGCATAGTTTCAACAAAAATTCTTACAAACGTAAACAATTCGGTGAATCAAAAGCGGTCTTCGTGCCCTCGTATCGCGGTTACGTTGCAGCGTTGCCGAATGTTTGAGAAAATTTAATTATTTACGACTCACTTTCCTCGAAAACGATTGATTTTGGGACATAAGTTGTAATGAACTTTTTTGCTTAGAATAATGCTAGGAACCACCTCTTAAAGTTACGAATATTATTTCCCTAACACCATGTATAGTAAAATATTGCAAAACTATGCGACATTTCCGGCCTGAGTGTGGTAAAAATCAATTTTCTTGATCGGTGGCTATATGCGAGCGATCATATGTACATTAAAGCAATTTGGGGCGCTGAGATAGAATATCATTGTAGAAAATACCTTAAAGGGTCACGGTTCGGAAATAGAGGTGAAAAACAGGTAAAGAACACTGCACCCGGGGCCACCCGTGAATCCTAGGCACCAAATTGATATCGAATTCGGAATCTATGTAACTGGTTTCCCTAGAAAACAAGCTCCCGTCCAGGTCAGAGACGCGCAACAACTTTTGGAAATTTTTTATTGGTCTTTTTTTTTGTTAGGTAGGATTCTTGCCAGTAATTCTAAACGAGACATTTCCGAGCTAAATGGATTTGGTTTCAGCGATCTGAAAAACGTATTATAAGGATAGTCGAGGCTATGTTCTCGACTGGTCCATTTTTGGCCATTTCTGTAACATAAGACCCTATATACATGATTATCAAAAATTAAAATGCTTAAAATGTAGTTGAAATGACCTCAATCTTACGTATTATGGGTCGCATCTGCTTGTTCAGCTTATTTTAAAAAATACATTTTTTATTTTATTTTTTGTTTGTTGAAAGATTTATTTATTTAGCAATAATGCTACAAAGTCAATTGTGTATAATAATTATTCGCTTACACATTTTTCTTCAATCCATTTTCTGTAATTTTACGTTCCTGTCAATTAAAATTACGTCATACATATACATACATTTTGAATTTTGTCATAAAGTGATTTTTTAATTTCACCTTAAACATTTTTAAATTCGAATAATTCATAATATAATTATTCAATTTATTAAATTCAAATACTCCATTTTGAAATATGGATTCTACTATGACAATTTTGGAGATGAAAGTCTATACTGCCTCTAGTTTCTTAGTTATGATAATGACTATTTAATTTTGCGAAGTTTTCTAAATGTGGTGGTAATAAATTATTTTTTAATTTGATTCTGAAAGTGAAAACTAAATAACATATGAAATTTTTCACATTCAACCACTATAGTTCTCCTAACATATACTGAATCCTAGCATATTTGTTTTTATTTAAAATGATTCTCATAGCTTTATTTTGTAGAATTTGTAATTTTAAAAATATGCTTTCATTTGCTGTAAACAAGATGGTTGAACAATATAAATAATGGGGAAGAATTATAGTGTTATACACATTTTTTTGGAATACATACTAAGATTATGGAAGTAATTTATCTTTTTTGATATTTTTGAAATAATGTATTCATAATGTTCGTGAGACAGTAGTTTACTATCCACATGTAAACCCAGATATTCAAATGATTCGACTGCTTCAATTTTTTCACCATTAATAATGAGCCTAATTGTCACCTAAATGTTTCCCTATTATATAGGGACCGTCAGAAAGAACGCATGTTTTTCGAATGGGTACTACATCGAGTGCCGTTTCAGTTGGCAAGATGGTTTGGTACCTTGAGCATCGTGTTTTCAGTGTACTTTCAAAATTTCGAGTCTGTCGTTCGAACGCAATGTGAGTTTTGCGTTCACTGTACGTCGCAGCTTGAAGAAGGACTTAGTGTTCCATCCTTACAAAATCTAAGTTTGTCAACAACTGTTGCCAGGGGATTATGCACAACGTGCTAATTTTTTCACAGCTCATGATTGAACAGTTGGATAACAATGACATGATGTTGTTTATGAGTGTTAAAGCACATTTTCATTTACATGGATACGACAATAAACAAAATTTTGATATAATAAAATATTTTTCCCATACTTACTTTGACTGTACTACTCATTTAAAAAACATACGTTCTTTCTGACGGACCCCGTACTTGTAGAATCGCGTCACCGTTTTCTGCTTTCAGATATGTATATGCCCACCTGTATACCCTGACAGCGACAGTAGGGCTGATACTCATTACAGGAATCTTCACTATCATGCTCGTAGGATTCTATTTTCCGGAAGACGAGAATATTCCGAATCCAACAATACGGATTGCAAGGGAACGACTGCCCACACAAACCACCACTTCTGCCACTGCACAGCAACAGTAATTTTTTGATCAAAATGAGACAGTTCACGTTGTCCTCTAAGAAAATTGACTTGGAAATCTTCGATCAGACCGATTAATTCGTGTATTTTTTAAAATCGATAGAGCTATTCCTCGAGTTTTCGAGGTACTAAAAGATTCTGGGAGGTGAGTCGGCGGTGGGCGTTTATGGTTATAATGTCATAATGCATATTATAAAGAGATAATTTAAAGTAACATCCATATGTGTGTGAACCTCAGATTGATCTCACGATTCAATCATAGTTCCCATAGTTTCCCATATTACATAGCTGCTATATAAGCCTGATACAATTATTAAGGAAACCAAAGATAAGTCGTGTAGTTTTGAAAATTGGTAGATTCCTTGAGGTGCTCAAATAAACTTACCAAAAGGCTGTGGGAAGTGAGCTGGCGATGAGTGAGTAGGAAAGGTCTCACTTTCAGGTTTTTGCATGCATCTCGCAAAATTATTTAATATACATATTTAAGATAGGATTAATGCTTTAGGAGCTTCAGGGTATATTATGACAGATTTTTAAATTCAGCTTCGAAATTTGACAGCACAATTGAATAGTCACTCTTTTCAGTTGCTGCGGTCGCAGTTTTTTGTATTTTTAAAAATGTACCTGTTTCATTTTTACCAGCTAAGATACCCTGTAGCTCCTAAGAATTTGGTGCGAATTTTGACATTTTTCACATGTTCAGAGACACATGGATCTAACCTTAAATTATCTATAATCTTAAACATTCCTTTAAAAAACCTCAAGGAAAAATCATTATTCTATGCTTTGCATGAGCAGACAAAAAATATTGAATATATTTTTATCAACACGAATGTACAAGTGTGAGCAGAGGCTGTGGATTCGAAAAGAGTAGATGAAAATTGTTACTGTTTTGACCGAATTATGTTCTGACGTGAACTGTCTCGTTTCAGCTTATTTATTTCAGAAAATAGTTATTTCATTTTTCCTAAGTTATAAAAAGGCTTGTGTACAGATTTGTAATTTAAGTTTAAATTTTATACAATTGGTATTAAATAAAGTTATTGTATGTTCACTTGATTTTTATTCCTCCTTATGGGTGTTGGAAACCTTGTCAGAAACTTCCTGAATATTACAATATTAAAGCTACAGAATTTCTTACATTTTTGGCACTAAATTGATTCTCAAAAACTTCACACTAGACAATATTATAGTGAGTTATTGGACAGCTTCGACAAAAAATTGAAGGAGACACGGTCACATTTGACGAAAAAGAAGGTGCTGTTTCACCACGATAAGACACTAGCACATTCATCCGGAGTTGTCGCCGGAAAACTGCATGAATTGTGTTATGAAGTGCTGCCGCACCCCCGTATTCAGAAACAAAGAGAGTTTAGTGTCACTGTTACGAAACGTCGAAAAATCAATTTATTCGTAATTGCATGGCAAGCCGTAAACATCATCTAGAATCTAGAAAATGCCTACTTGCAAGTGCAAAGGGACGCCTGGATTTCTTGGCTATGAACCAGGATACCCCCGCTGTGTTTCAGATCACGTTTCTGCAAATCCCAGTAATTAGGCATACCAAAATACCTACATTATTGAAGGAAAAGTATATTGATATTCCTATATACGCCGTATGCATATAGGGTCTAGTATTATTGGTAGATAGGGTTTAAATCGAGGAATGTTGGCAAATCCCTTAAGTCTGAACCCTAAAGGCAACATCAAAACGCTTTTAAGAAGATTACTAGTCTCGGAACTCTGCAGCCGGACAGCTCTTGGTGTGTGAAACGGAAGTATGAAGTCAGAAAACATAGGCGGGGCTGTATTTTTTGCTTACGGTTATTCTACTCCCATTATTTCAAGAATTAACACCCAGATAGAGGCGACAAGACAGATACCGAAACTGAGAGAAGGGTAGGATTTTGGGGGTTGGTATTAACCGCCTCCCTCCTCCAAGCTTCTGAAAAATGATGAAACGTACCTGTAATGCTGTGATCTACATGAGATAATACCTACATAGGGCTTCGCCTCTTTTTGCCCTTGGCATCGTCTGGTTCCAGTGAACATAGTGACGTCATAAGTCGGCATTTTTAGAGCACTACTGATGTACGCCGGCCAACAAAAATGACGTCATTATGACGATCTAATATCACACTCAATTGGCATCATATTATGTCGTTTAAAAGACCAAATGCAAAGTCAATATGACGTGGATATGACATCTATCTGAGGTCAATGTGACGTCGAGATGACGTACAGTCGCTCGCATAAATAATCGCGCGGTCTATCCAAATGCTCCTGAAATATTGAGAATGTGATGACGCCCCACAAGCAGTATGTTACGTCCAGGAGTGGTAGAAAGGCGTCGAAGCTCATATTCCTCTTACCTCTCGTTCCGAGACGTTGTCATCACCTCCACAATTTTTCAGGAGCGTTTGTGTAAAGTAATAAAGAACTTAAAACCACCGTTTGATCCCAAACACGTTCCAGTCCTCTGATGGTTCAGAATTTTATCAAAATCGCTTTACGTTTTCACAGGAGGCAAAGGTAAGTATTGATTTTTCAGTACTGACTGTCCTAAAGAAGACGTCCAAATGACAGCCTTTCAAAGGACGTCTTGTCATAAAAATGGCGTCAATAAAGACGTCATTTTTTAGTCAATGACGTTTTCGACCAAACGTGACCGAATAATGACGTCATGTTGGCGTCATGTTCACTGGGGCATAGTAGTTCAATGGGAAAAAGAGCCGATGGCAGACTGAAATTCAGAAAGAAAACAGGAAAAAGCGTGGTTGTTTCCTTTCCTAAACACTATACAGGGTGTCCGCAAAGTTGGGGTTTACCTTTTCAGAAACAACTACCCGTGAAATAACAAAGGTAATGTGTAGAGAAACGAGGGCGACCAAGTAGAAAAAAATAAAGGAACAAGTACTCACTCTCCAGTTGACGAGAAGGGCTAAGTACGTCTCTGCCCGAAATCATACCACTCCAACAGAAAATGAAATCAGCTGATGCGCTACCGAGCAGACGCCGGCGGTGGTGCAGACCACGAACAGAGGTAACAAATATGACGGCGTTACCGCGTTTTCAGTTTTTAGGTAAACGTACTTTATAGGTATTGTTCGAAGTTATCGCCGTTTGATTCAAAAACACAGGTGCGTGCACGACGTAGCCAAGCATCGGTGCAGGCTTTGAGAATGGAGTCCCTCCCCCGAATGAAAGCACCAGCTTGTTCAATTCTGAGACGAAGTTCGTCAACCGTATGCACTTCAGTTTTGTACACTAAGCGTTTCAATTCTCCCCAAAGAAAAAAATCACATGGTGTTAAGTCTGGAGATCGCGGAGGCCACGCTACGGGTCCATTACGTCCGATCCACCTATTCGGAAATAATTCATTCAAAAACTCACGCACTTCGCGTCTAAAATGGGGCGGTGCACCATCGTGCAGAAACCACATTGATTGTCTTACACTTAATGGCATATCTTCTAACAAGGAAGGCAAAATGTTGCGTAAAAAGTCTAGGTATTACATCCCGTCCAATCGATTTGGGAGAATAAATGGTCCAATGAGCATACCGTTCACGATGCCAGCCCAAACATTCACCGAAAATGTTTGTTGAAAATGTGCCCGACGGACAGCGTGCGGATTTTCTACTGACCAAACATGAGTGTTGCGAAAGTTATTCACCCCATTACGCGTGAACGTAGATTCGTCTGTCACCAATATGCACTTCAAAAAGTCCGGATTATTGTCATGTTGATGCAACAACCACTCACAAAACCGCACTCTTGCTGGAAAATCGTCAGGTTGAAGGGCTTGTACACGTTGGACGTGAAACGGATACAGCCCCTCTTCACGCAACGTTTGCCACACTTTAGTTTTTGATACTTGCACTTCTCTAGCCACGTCTCTAGTGCTTGTTGTTTTTTGAAACGCAATCGATTATACGGGTTCGTTTACCTCTACACGCGTGACCGTAACCGTCGGTTGAAGGTTGCATACTGACCTGACACACTGACACCGACCCAGTTCTGTCGTCGGGTTGAGCTAGTGTCCTAGTACCAGTCGGGGATGTCGCGGGTCGCGGCTACAAGACGGTATTCAGATATTTTTTATGTTGCAGAGCCCTTTATCTCGGTTCCCTTAAGACATTGGTGTATATGGTACTAAGAAAAATTGCTTAGGTTTTCAAGATCTACACGTCGTGTAAAGGAAAACCCCAACTTTGCGGACACCCTGTATACATAGAATAGTTACCCATTATCCTAACTCTACAGACGAAGTTAACTTTATATTAAGCGCTTAATGATATGAAGAACCCATTACACACAAGCATGTTTGACAAATGTCAACAATTTGGAATCATTCCTCATAGTCCGGTCAACATCTTCGCATCTGACGAGAAAAATATTGTGATTGCGATTTTGCATAATCTTATTCAAAAAAGGTCAACATACAAAATGTTGCAAGGACCAAATTTACTTCCAAAACTTTGTAAACATTTTTTTTAAACAAATCCTAAAAATTGTTTTTGATGACAACATACAATTTATTTCGAAATCGCATCTCAAGGCCAGGAAAAAATTAAAATAATTTTGTAATAAATCTGGTATACGAAACAAGTGACTATCTGATAATTTCAAGGTCTACCTATGAAATTCTATTTTTTTTTAAAAGCAACTTAAGTTTTGCAAGGCACGTTATACTTTTTTTGAATCAAAATATAAAAAGTCTATTTATCTGGGTAAGAATCCAATATGGCGTTCATAAGAAAATAAAGTTAATGCTGGAGGACAATAGACGAAACGTCATATTGAAATTTTGATGATGGCATCGAGAAAAAGTGGCAATGTTAATGTAAAATTTGTCTTCAGCCCCACTACAAATAAAGTCAATAAAAACTTTAAAGGGTTTTGGGAAAATTCGGTTTTGATTCATCTCTCTCCGAAAGTACTTTAAATTTTGAAATTTTCTAAGCGGTATTTTCTTAGTTACCTAAATACGCAAATTTTTTCCCATTTAAGCGACTTCGAATCTTTTACCCGGTATACTGCTACTAACTGGAGTTTAAAAGATATTTCGAGGTACCAAAATGGTTTCACGTCTCAACAAGGAAAAATGAACTAAAAGCCCGTTAATGCGAACATGCATTAGCATTTTTTGAAAAGTGTTTGTATTATAACTGAATTCGCTGTCCAAGATTACCTGCATTTTCACTCACATAGTACGCATAGTACAAATCTTTCGAATCCTTCTGTCTGAGGTGTATTTTTGCTTGTATATGGCCGAAGTCGATGCTGAAGTTCCGGTCGGAATCTATGCATAACATGTCAATAAGATACTCTTGACACAATCCTCGTGTATTATATATTTCTCAAAAGGCCCTCGTACTGTTGACCCCCTTTATATCCGCCCCTGTTCCCGTTGAAGATATTTCCGTCTAGGTGAACCCAGAGTCTAGTGTCAGTAGTTTGAATTGATGCTTTTTCAGAGATTACACTGGATGACAGCCCGTGAGCTAAAGCTCGAAAGGAATGAATAGTAGTCGTTGTGAACCATACATCCATGGGGTTCGGTTTGGTTTCAGCCTTTCATCCGTCTGTTTATTATCCTACGGCTTTTGAAAAATTAATGAAGGCTTACTGTTGTTAAATATAGATGCTACACAAGTCTAAAACATGGCATTTGTGCCTTTTTCCAGGAACCTAGATACTGAAGCTTTATTCTAAGATCAGTCATTAAGAGATATATAATGATAATAAAGCTTATAAAGGGTTTCCCAGTATACTGGCGGCTCGATGTTTTGTATGTGATGTAAAGATACTAAAGAAATTCTTTTTTTTTCCCAGAATATGCCATTGGTTAAACTCCTAAGGTAGCCTCGCCGTCGTCTCATTTCCAAATACGACGTTACCTTTGTGATGGTCGCTGGGAACCCACGTACGAAAAAAGTGTTTCTCACAATCTCACGCGTCTTTATATCGTACGCTAAATTAAAAATTCTGAAGCGCTAAACCTTAGGCTAGAATGCTTCCTATTATTATTAACCCTCTTAGATTCCCATTGCA